TGAACGTCCGTCGTTTCGGTGCGAGAATCTTAGTCTGTAAGACAACTATCCATATGTTGTTGTTCGCTGACGACTGTGCGTTCTTTGACTCCTTGAAGGCAGTGTATGGACAGAGGTTGAAGCCGATGACGACGCTGCTCAATGACACTTCAGGAGCTGCTTCGACACAGACTACAAACATAATGCAGACCAGGCGAAAAAACTTTGACTGTCTCTTGAACAGAGATCCAGAGGTTGACTGGACTGTGTCGCACAGGCTGCCGCAACAAGATATGAAGACGAATCCTGCTGACAGCCAGAAAGTGGAAGAGACGCAGAGAGTATTTGCTCAGCTGCAAAACGGAAAATGTGCCGATGCCGACGGAATCTCGCCGAAGTATTAAAACACGGGAGAATCGCGTTGGAAAATGCGCTGCTCCAGTGTAAACCCGAAGGAATAAGACGACGATGCACATGGATAAAAGCCAAATGTTATCAACGGAGCCGGTCCACATTCCTTCACAGGCTAGCACAAGCACACTGTATTTGGGGTATCAAGCGCACACAAGGCGGTGGCTAACCGTAGTCCGCTCCACACTGAAGGCATGGAACCACCCTTTGATCCTAACCCGACCACAAAGACCTTGCACCCCGTCCCATCCAGCAACGACCAACTGTCTCCTAAAGCCGGTATGGACGAGGCAGTGAGTAATAGGCAGGTACGTACCTTGTCAAGATGCACATCAACCGCCACCACACCGGGGATATCTAGCAATAGTCAGTCACTTGACACGACGAGATCAAATGAAATAAAGCGAATAGTGCATACAAATACGGTGACATAAGTTTTCAAAAGTGAGCGTATGAAACAAATTCGGTGCCGAAAAATCCAATATAGGTTCAAGATGTCAGAAAATATGGTTTAAGAAAATGCCACAAACGCGAAAATGTTATCAAAGTTAACTACAATTAACTTGAGCGACGTGTGCAAGTTAACAGAAGATAATTCACGTAGACAATATAGCAAACTGAGCCCCTGAAATAAAAAGACCCAACATACAAGCAAGCGGTTAGTAAATCGAATGCAGCGTACCTACAAATGCTGCGCCGGTTCTACCTACGTTCTCTGCAGGACTCGTTGTCGTTCCTGTGTTGGCCCCGAGTGGCCTCGCTCATGGCTCACAGGGCCTGCCTGACTCAGGCACTCGCGACCGCATGTGCCATAGCACCATCCGCTCGACATCGATGGACTAGACTCCAACGGCGCCTGCCGCTTCCGCACTTGCCGCTTCTTCTCCGCATGCACGAAGGTTTTCTGCACCTCAGCAACTGCATTCGTGATCAGATCGCGACATACACGTCTATCAACCGCCTTCGAATCCCAACACCTGAAATCAATATTAGAACGTGACAGGCTCACTCTGATCATATCCTGGTAACGTAGCTTTGGTTTCTCCACATGCCGCTTCCCAATACTCAGCTGACCATGTAATGGCTGCTTCGGTATCAGCGTCGAATACATATGGCACACACGACCCAGCCACCTCAGGTGTCTCAGCAAAAGTATGCAGTCCACTGCATACGTTCCACTTCGGCGCAATCACTCCCTGTCTGCAACTCTGTCGCACCAACCGATGCGCAGAATCTGTCGCAGACACTGTTGACGAAACCACTCGAGATAACGCACATCCCGCCGGTGCATCGTCCACATTTCACTGCCGTATGGAAGAACGGACAGCACCCTGGATTTGTAAACCATCAGCTACGTGCCAGGAGTAAGCTGATGTTTGTTCCACACTCGGTACTCAAGCTTCCCGAATGCCGCCACGGCCTTCGAGAAGCGAATACGCAGCTCACTGTGTAGCTGCTGGTTAGTCGACATCATACTCCCAAGGTAGCAGAAGCGGCAGGTGGTTTCCAATACTTCATCACCAATGCTGATTCGCGGCACCATTGCACATCGCACCTCCGGTGAAGGCTGAAAGAGACAGACAGTTTTACTTGTGTTTACGGTAAGCCCGAATTTGGCCACTGTCTAAGACAGAGACGTCTTGCGCAACAACTCATCCGCGCTGTGCGCAAACAACGCACAGTCGTCAGCAAACAGCAACGTGCGGATAGTTGTCTCAGAGACTAGGGTTCTCACCCCGAAACGACAGAGGTTGAATAACCCACCATTAATACATTGTTTCACATGAACATCGTAAGCATAAGCAGCATCAAATGCACCCGGCATTAATGCATGAAAATACATAGTAAATAAAGCAGGAGGCCAAGACACAGCCTTGCTTCACACCAGACAACAGCAGTCATTCAAGCTGCTGCACCCTCGCCCGCATACCGCTGTTCAGAAATTCAATTAGCGTAGAAAGGTACTCGGAAAATCAAACTTACCCAACACCAGTCACAGTGCCTCGCGGTTCATAGTGTCAAATGTCTTGGTGAATTAAACAAACAGCGACTACAATGGCTGGTGTCGCTCTCGACATTTCTCCTGCGACCGACGAGCTGCAAACCTCATAGTATCTATCGTGCTGCGACCCGAACGGAATCCGCATTACTGTTAAGCCACGTGCGGTTCAACGACCGGAGTGACGAGGCGGTTGAGCAGGATTCAAGCAATCACCTTGCCCATACGACTCAGTAAGTTGTCGCGTGGTCTTTTAATCGGCCGTTGCCTATTCAGTGAAAACATCGCGCTTTTGACATTTCACTTTCAGGAAGCCTTTCAGGAAGCAACACCAATGAACAAATGCAGAAGCATGTCGCACATATTGTACCTCTGGCTGATGAGTTTCAAAGGCGAATTCAAGACTATGCAGCCAATGAAATGGAGATCGGGCATTTTTCTTCGTCTTTCTCTGTCGACAATGAGAATGCCCCAGTCCACCTGCAACTGAAGCTCATTGAATTGCAAAATGTGCGTCGCAGTCAGTACCAACAGCTCTCTCTCAAAGAGTTTTACTGCCAGCTGAATAAAGTCAGATTCCAAGAGATTCGAACATCTGCTTGTTCCGCTTGTTTGGCTCGACATACTTGTGTGAGCATTCACAACTTTGAATTTTAACAACAACCCTGTGAAGACGGGACAAAGTGATTCGCACCTACACGATATCTTGCGTAACAAAACCAGCGCCTTTGAGCCTGACCTGACCAGTCTACTGCAATCAAGATCTGTTTCACCATTCACATCAAAAAGTTGCAGTAAAAAAGCATAACATACGTTGTTTTGGTTAGTAACCTAATGTCAGACTGAATATGGCTCGACAAATTTCTACCCCACAAGATGTGTCCCACCTTTGGAAAGGTTTGGAAACCCCTAATCTATGAAGATGGCGGGATATTAGTCTGTCAGTGAAAGTTAGGGCGTATAACGTTGCCTGTTTTACTGTATGGATCAGAGACCTGGCGAGTTCGCGGCGAAGAGATTAAACCCTCGGTCGTGTTTACCACCGGTGCTTGCGGAGTATTAATTACGTCTGGCGGGAACACCTGGTGAGCAATGCTGAGGTCCGCGTCTGAATCTTAAATCGCTAACACTGATCGGGTCATGTACTCCGTATGCTCGTTGGCCGGTTTGCTCAGCGTGCATTACACGCCGTGACTGCACCAAGATGCACGGAAACCGCAATGTGATCAGTCCATGACGTCGCATAGAGGAGGAAGAATAAAGCATCAGCACGTGTGTCCTGGACCACATGTTCGCTGCCACTCAACCACTACCAGTCTGCACGTTGGCTAAGGATAACGCGAGGGTTGTCCGGTCCCTAGGCAGGCTCGAACCCGCGACCTCGGGTTACAAGGCAGGCTTGTGATCTTTAAGGCCTCAGGCACAGAGCCATGAAGAAAGTGACTGAGACTTAGGCTGGTGCATGCCGTCTTCGTGGATGGGAGTCTCGGGATGGACCAGACCAATGAATGGAGACCGCATCAGACCTGGCGCAGTCAAGCATTCAGTTACGTTCTTGCGTTCGGGTTCTTGCACCTAGTTGTTAATTTTCGTTACATGCTGATTAGACTAACGCATGTCCTTCTTGCTTACATCTTCTTCACTTTCTATTTGCATTCAAGCCCACCAGCTTGCCGTTGTTATTTATCGTTATTCTTGCGATGAGTTGTGGCAATTAGATCAACCGCACTTCGGTGTTCAGATTATAGTTTTTCAACAGAACTGGTTGAACTGACCGTCGTAAGTGGATAAGCTAGGGACAATTATTAGACTTCCGGGGTAGAAAAAGACCAAACACCCTACATAAAGTTACCTGGGGAGTAGGCAAACTAACACCTAAACAGGTCAGTCAGTGAGGTTTGGTTCAAAACCGTGGCAGACATCGAAGAACCTACGGGAAACCGCGACTGTATGGTCGGAAACAGTCTGCTATTCAGAATTAGTAGGATAAGCCGTCCTCAAAGTTATCAAAAATGTCAGAAATTTGTTAGAGATTTGGGGAACTACACTTGGATGTGATTCAAGCGTAAATGCGAAAGTTACGTCAGGCTGTTACAATTTGGCAAATAATTTGTGTGACTGCTAATCAGTACGCCATCTAGATCGGTAGATAGCCGTCGGAAGCAACAAGCATATACGAAGACGACCGAGGCCAAAATCCGACGCAGTTTCTACAATATGGTAAAAAGTCCCCCGGGGATTGATTACAGAGGCAAGATACTTAATCTCAACTTGACTATTGTTCTTAAATTGTGTATAAGTCCTGGATACAGTGCACACATTCAAGACTTTTGTGTGCATTATCGTTGATGTTTCGAGCTCCTAACTTGACTTGATGAACCTCTCACTTATGCAATGGCCCGCTCAGAATATCGCATCCAGAACCACCATTCCCATATCCAATCGGAAGTCTACAATCCGCCTCTACAGAGAAAGCGATGAAGTCAACCGACAGACACATAGAAACGCAACTGAAGAATATGACACTCATTCATATGGACATGTAAAACATGCAGACAAATGCTTGGCAGTAATCACAGAGGCAGATAAAACCGACCTGCAGTATACTTACTTTGATTAGGGCGGACATGGACTTCATCACACCGGTACTGCTTTTCAGGCACCCAGCAAGCCTAAGTGTAGATGCTTGGGAGTTCAATTCTGATATGACACAATCCATATGGGCGCTTGCCTGTAGAAGCCTGGATACAGCTTTTCTGGAATTCACTAATTCTTTCGCCAAAATCTTAGCCTCATCAAGCTTTCCATCCTTGGCACGTTTCTTTATATCCAGAGCCACTTTTTTGTTCTGAACCTGCAAAGCGTTGACATCTCGCTGAATTTTAAACTTCTGTTTCCTCACAACGGAAACCATTTCTCTCAATTTCTCCCTGGGATCCTTCTTTTCCCCGAAAATCCCCATCTGCAGCACGGAAATTACTAATCACAAAAGCAGGATGCCTGTTTATTACCGGATGGAGATAAACGATCTGACGCGAGACCAGCAGAGTCGTAGTGTGAATTGAATTAGGTGGGTGGCTGAAAATGAGAGCAGAAGCGCACTATTCAAAAAACTTAATGCGGTCGGCTTCAGTGTCGTAGATGAGTAGAGAGAAGATGCGGGGAAAGGTAATCATGGTTAATAAGGGCAAGGTAACAAGAACGTGAACATTCGCAAACTGAATGAGCAGAATACAGAAAAAGACAACCGGTTAACGTTTGACGATGCGTCTCAGTTTGCAATGAGACACATGAGTGAAACTTATGGAAACTGACAGCTATGTGTCCAAAGATGTCCTCACAAACGTATTCAGCGAACGTTTTTGTGCCAGTTCCCCTACAAAAGTAACAGTGGTGCAAAAAGGATAACTAGCATTCCAGTGAGTCGTACCGACGCTTCACTGCTATGAAAGCACCAACCATCGCTTGCGAACCAGGGATATTGCGATAGTGCCTGTATCAATACAGGTTCAAAACGGTGACCTGTGGGTAACAAGCCAGATGCCTGAAAAACTTGGCCACCGGCCAACAGGCAAAATAGCGTCAACAGTATGCCGGTACGCCGTTCTGACGCTTCTCTGCCACACAACCACCACCACAAGAGTAAGGGCTAAGGATAGTGTGAAGTTCTTCAGGTTCCCTACACAAGATCAAATCGGTAAAATTCTGGTTGAAAGACGAACGCATTGTCCTTTCGGTCATGGGCCGGAAGCATGCTACTTGTTGTACCGCTGATTTGTCACCACGCAACCGTGACTGCACGTGGACTGAGAAATCGTGGGAACGCCCAAAGCTAATCGAACACACAGCGCAGTTGTGAGCTGAACAGCTAAATCGCGAGACCACGAGCCGGAGCAGCCGGTGTTGTGTCCAGTAATCTAACAGCTGCACCGGGAATCGGGTGGTACGTGTGTGAGGTTGGAGAACTCAAGATAATCGGAGTATCTTGTTTCTGCGTCCTGATGGAACAAGGTCATAAGGATAGCTGTGAAATCCGAGCGGACAACGCCGCAGTAGGTGGTGACCGTATATTCAGACCTTAAAGTCGAACCGTAGAGATAACAGGACATAAGCGTTACCGAAGAGCTGCTATCGACGCAATGAGATCAATCCGCCTAAGTTAATCTAAAAGTTAACAGGGAGATGAAGGGGCATGGGACTTCTATAAGCACTGAAAACATTCCATAAATCGGAAATTAGAAGTGGGCTTATGGACTTCAATAACACTGGTGCAGAATCACTCTGTCCGCTACTAATTATGGACAGAATGACAGCCAAAAGAAAAAATCTAACTTTCAGTTTCAATTTTCCCTGTTCACTGAACTAGTCTCGCTTAAACTGATGTGCATCTTGGCTCGTCTCTAGGTTGCTCTGAACAAATTGCTGGTCCCTCACTAACCTCAGATGAATCTCGTCAGCATGGCTTATAACTTCGTGGTGAACCGTGGGTGGTGATCTTGTGGTAGACTCATGCCCAGGCTTTTCGGGTGTGATGGGATGAGCAGTACAAACTAGTGAATCATGATGGCCCGTAGCTTAAAGGTAACGAGTTTGTCTCATAATCTGATGGCGCGGGTTCGAGTCTGCGTAGGAGCAGGGCGACCCTCGCAGTATTCTTAGCCCACGTGCGACCGATGGTGGTTGCGCAGAAGCGAAGCAGTCGGTACTGCGTACTGGCATACTGCTGATGTCTTTCTTTCTATGCATGATCGCACGGTAATATGGGCATGCACCGAAGTATATGCGACAAGGTATCCGAACCGACGGTGAGCAATGACGACTTCCAGTTACGATTCGTGGGCGATAATCAATTTACACATAGGTGGATAATGGCGAGCAGTCAAAACAGTCAAACGCAGTGATGTCACTAGTCGTTGTTTGACTTTTATGTTCATTCTTTGTGTAACTATGTAATGTTTTTACATAGTGGCGCAACGATGGAGATGTTTCCCACCTCAAAAGAATGTACAAAATGATCACAATGACGATCACTGGCAAAATCCTTCTCTTTCAATAAACAGTCGGAGAAAACAGCTTACCAACAAGACCATCCACAATAATACTTATTCCTTTCATCCTTCCCACACAAATCTTCACTTCTCTAATGTACGGAAGACTATTGCTAGGCTTCTCAAGTGACGCTCGCGAATCATCTACTTCGTATTTTAAAGCAAGGGATTCGTTTTGCAATGGTTGCCTTAACGTTTACAAACTGGGTCAGATCGACCAACAGGTAGCGTTAACCCATGTTTCAGAAATATATATACAACACAATGGATTCGTTGCGAATTCTCAACTTCCCAGTTCCGAAGCTGTCAACAAAAGTCCTTGTCATTGCGTCTCTGATGACATCCAGTCGATAGCTCAGGGTACGTATCGTGTCAGTAAGGCTGTTACCAGATTTGCTGTAGGCAGGATGCCAGAAAACCGCATGTGCGTGGCTAAAGTTGTGATCCCAGTAATCATTTGAACCGTCTAAAAGGAAGTGTTTTGTACCATCTAAATGCATGGCCAAACAGACCGCAGCACAGGGATAAAAAAACGAATTATATCAGCAGTCATCAGATTTTATCCGCATGGCAAGGAGTACGAATTGTGGAATTACCAGCGACGTGATTGCTCGAGTGGATTGCCTATCGTACTCAGAACTTCTGGGAGGTAGATCAGGGATCAACGCGCACCAAAATAATTATTGAGATCGCCTTATTTATCATCAGCAGCAGCAGCAACAGCATCATCATCAACAACAACAACAACAACAAAAGTACATCACCCATTTGAACTGATACTCCGCTGCCATACAACCATGAGAACCTATGAAATAAAGAAGTGGGAGAGAACGGCGACATACCTGAAAACCTTAACACCCTAAGCAAACATTCAGGGTCAAGGCGCCTACACCTTGTGTAGACAACATACCATCACAAACAACTGGCCATCGCGCAAAGATAACGCGGTATCGGCGAGACAGCTTCCTTGCGGCTATCATTGCCACGCGTCATAAACAGCCATTACACCGCAGATAACTCAGCATCAAACACACTTTGAACAGGCAATCCCGTTAAGAGACGGCAGCAGACGCGCCACTGGTGTCGGTTGCGAGCCATGTCCTGCAAAGTCTCGAGCCAAGCACAAGGCGAGTCACGTGGACTCCAGCCCGGAAGACGAGACGGACCAACGGCACCCAGTTTGGTTGTCAGTAACTTCATTTCCCGCTGTCAAGTCAACTTCTGTCCACCTCGATCCTTCCGCCACCGTACACCAGGCAGACTAAACAAGGCTCTCCTCGGTAAGCGGTGACCAGGCAAACGTAGCACGTGGCCGAGCCAACGCAACTTATTCAGTGCTGTCTGTTGTTCTAGGGAGCTAGCATGATTATCACTACCTTGTACTCGCCTACGCACATCATCGTTGCGGACACGCTGGTGCCATCCGACTCCAGCAACGCTTCGCAGACAACGATGATCGAGGTCTGGAAGGCGCCTCATATCTTCAGACCGAAGGGGCCAAGTCTCACTTCCACAGAGCAGAACGGCCCTCACTGTGGCTTTGTATACCCGGCCTTTCAGACGGAGGGAAACTCCCTTCTGTCTCCAAAAATGCCGCCAGTTCAAGAAGACAGTTGTGGCCTTTGCAATGCGTGAGCTGACGTCAGTTTCTATGCGCCCATCGTTGCTGGATGCAACTTCCAAGGTAAGTGAATTGATCAACCACCTCAAGTTCCTCGTTAGCAAGGCTCAAAGCGGTAATCAAGTGGCTGGTGGTCCTGCAGCAACACTTTGCACTTTGAAGGTGCGAAGTGCATAGCAAATAATACGACCACTCTAGACAGACTACTCAGGGTTGATTGTGTCGCTCCAACATCGTCGAAAAGCAAGACGATATCGTCCGCATAATCAAGATCATCTAATCTTTCACCAGGCAGCACTTCAACGCCTACATTGTGAGATTCCGTAAGGGAACACTCCAGGATAGAATCTACGACGAAATTGAACAAAAATGGGGAAATCGGACAACCCTGACGAACGCCACTTGTGGTCGAAAAGCTATCCGATAGGTCACCGTAGATCTTGACGCGGCCTGTAATGTTCAAGTATAGAGCACGTCAGATGTTCATATATTTCTTGGGAACACCTTTCCGCGCAAGCATTTCGAACAGAATCGATCGATCAACTGAATCGAACGCACACTTAAAATCGAGGAACACAGCTATTGTCGGTCTGCGGTATGCGTGGCGCTGCTCTAGCATCTGCTGCAAAGTGAATATATGGTCTATACAGCCACGTCCTGGGCCGAAACCAGCCTGCTCTGCCCTAATCCGAGATTCCCGTTTCACAGTGAGGCGACCAACGAGAATCGAGGCCAGTAATTTTGTCACAACTGGCGTTAGGCGAATACCCCTGTGGTTAGAACAGTCTGTGCGACTGTCCTTCTTGTATATCGTCACTATAATCGATTCACTCCACTTAACCGGGACACTTTCTTTCAGATACGTTCGTATAGGGAGGTCAGTACTTTGCAGAGGATTTCTGCTTATCCTTAAATAGTGCAGGTGGGAGGGAATGCGGGCCAGCTGCACGAAAACGATTAAGGGCTGTTATCGCGTTTCGGACCTCGGCCTCCGACGGAGGCTCTAAACTAATTGTCCATGGCTCGTCCTGCACCATCTGAGTAGGAAACGGGTCTGAGAGCAGGGGCCAGCTGAACTGATCAGGAAAGTGTTCTGCCCAACAAGCTATACGGTGCTCCTTATTGTGTATCAGTGCACCCGCGCTGTCTCTGATTGTCTCACTGTCGCCTGGTTTTCTGGGACCAGTGGTGCGGATCAGCTGGGAGAGTTTGCGGTAACTGCCTATTGCTCTTGTCTCCACAATTTCTTGAGCCCTCCTGGTCCACCAGGCTTCCTTGTCTGCCCGTAAGCTCCGCTTTAGTTCGCGTCTAATAGCCCGTCTGGTCACATTATGCTCAGAGCCAGCCGGGAGGTGTCTCCTAGATTCCAACAGCTTTACCAACCTCTCGGATATTCAGTGACTGGTGCGA